CAACACCTAAAGAAGAGATCAACACCTCTTTAATCGAAGCAAGATGGCGGCGACATAGATGTAGCGGCTCAGTGCTCTCTCAGTTGGTGCTATAGTTTGCGTTGTTTTTTCGTGTTTATATATGTCCTGAGTGTTTTCTGTCAGGCCAATAACATCTACGGTCGGCACGATCTCCTTAAGATAGGAGTCTGTTACGAACAGAATATTACAGCCAAGTTTCTTCACACACACAATATACCGGAGGAGATAGCACGGCACCCCGGCTCCTCGTGGATTATCATCCCCGCCGGAAAGAGGCGAAGGCGGCGTAGAGAGAGGAGGCAGAAGCGGGGCTGCAGGGCTGGCCCACTCGCCAGGCTACGGAGGCAGCCACTCAAACCTCCGCTTCCCAGCCTGTTTCTCGCTAATGCGCGATCACTTGTCAACAAAATGGATGAGCTGAGGCTACAGATTGCAACCAACAACACCGTAAAAGATTGCTGTATTCTGCTTTTTACGGAGACCTGGCTTCACCCACTCATCCCGGACTCGGCGATGGAGCTAACAGGCTATACCGGGCAGCGACAGGACAGGACACCGAGCTCCGGTAAGAGCAGAGGAGGGGGGCTGTGTGTGTACGTGAATAACAACTGGTGTACTAACACAGTAACTGTGGACAGTCACTGCTCCCCGAACTTGGAGTATGTGTCTGTGAAATGCAGACCCACTTATCTCCCGAGAGAGTTTTCTGTTGTCATGATAACAGCTGTTTACATACTGTACCACCGGATGCTAATGCTAAAATGGCTAGCAGTCATTTGCATAGTAGCATTACCAGCCAACAGAGTAAATATCCTGACGCTGTACACATTATAGCGGGGGATTTCAATCACACAGACTTGAAATTAGTACTCCCTCATTTCTATCAACATGTTAAATGCACAACTAGAGGAAATAAAACTCTGGATAAGGTTTACTCTAACATCCAACTTGGTTATAGGGCTGAACCACTACCCCACCTGGGCCAGTCTGACCATTTGTCTTTGCTGTTAATTCCTGCATATGCCCCCCTCAGGAAAAGTACACCCAACATCACAAAAACTATAACAATCTGGCCTGATGGAGCCATGCACCGGCTGTAGGACTGTTTTGATAGGACCAACTGGGATGTGTTTTTACATCAAGACCTGGAGATGTTTACGGACAGTGTACTGTGTTACATACGTCACTGCATAGGCACTGTTACCGTGGAAAAACAGATCCGGGTCGATCCCAATCAGAAGCCCTGGATGACTAGGGAGGTACATCGGCTGCTGAGGGAGAGGAACACCGCCTTCAGGTCTGGTGACCAGACCCTTTACACGGTGGCCCGGGCTGACCTGAAAAGAGGCATCAAAAGGGCCAAGTTGGATTATCGGCGGAGGATTGAGGCATATCTGGGAAGTAATGACAGCAGGTCGGGTGTGGCAGGGAGTCCAACAGCTCACCAATTACAGGTCCACCGTAGGAGCAGCTGAGGGTGAGGCCTCGCTGGCAGAGGAACTGAACACTTTCTTTGCCCGCTTTGAGGTGGAACCAAGTATGGCAGCGACACCACACCCCACGGTCCATAGTAACTTCACCTTCACTGAGCATGAGGTGAGGCGTAAACTACAGGCCGTGGACCCGAAGAAGGCTGCTGGGCCAGATGGCATCTCTGGGCGTGTTCTAAAAGAATGTGCGGATCAGCTGGCTGGAATCTTTATGAGGATTTTCAACCAGTCCCTGGCTAAATCCACAGTCCCACCATGCCTGAAGTCCTCCACCATCGTCCCCCTGCCTAAAAAACCTTATATTTCCAGCCTCAACGACTACCGGCCAGTCGCACTCACCCCAGTGGTGATGAAATGCTTTGAAAAGCTGGTCCGAGGTCACATTACATCATGCCTGCCAAAAAGCCTGGACCCACACCAGTTTGCATACAGAGCTAATAGATCCACAGAGGACGCCGTAGCTACAGCCCTGCATGCTGCATTGTCCCATCTAGAGCAGCAGGGGAGCTACGTACGGATGCTCTTTGTGGACTATAGCTCTGTGTTTAACACCATCCTTCCTCAAAAACTGATGAACAAACTGATGGACCTAGGCATTCCATACCCCACCTGTATGTGGATTAAAAGCTTTCTCACTTGTCGCACCCAGAGGGTGAGAGTGGGCCATCATACATCTACGGCCCTTAGTCTCAGCACCGGCTCCCCACAGGGCTGTGTATTGAGCCCCCTGCTGTACACTCTCTACACGCACGACTGCACCTCCACCCACCACAATAACATCATAGTGAAGTTTGCGGACGACACTACAGTAGTGGGGCTCATCACTGGAGCAGACGAATCAGCTTACAGAGAGGAGGTTAAACATCTGTCGGTGTGGTGTAGGGAGAATAACCTTCTCCTTAATACTGTAAAGACCAAGGAGCTGGTGATTGATTACAGGAGGGAAAAGACTGACATCACACCACTCATCATCGGCGGGGATCGGGTGGAGCAGGTGTCGGACTTCTGTTTTCTGGGTGTGTACATTGAGGACGGTCTGACATGGAGCGTAAACAGTGTGAAGGTGCTAAAAAAGGCCCAACAACGTTTGCACTTCCTGAGGGTCCTCAGGAGAAACGACATCACTCAGAGACTGCTGTTGTCCTTTTACAGGTGCTCCATAGAATCTATCTTAACATACTGCCTATGTGTGTGGTTTAGTAGCTGCACAGTAGCCCAGAAAAAGGCTCTCCAACGGGTCATTAACATGGCCCAGAAGATAGTCGGTTGTCCCCTCCCTACAATGGTTGACCTTCACAGTGCTCGCTGTGCCAAAAAAGCTCAGAGCATTATTAAAGACACTTTCCATCCCGGTCACTCCTTGTTTGAACTGTTGCCATCAGGCAGACGATACAGGACAATCAAATCAAGAACAAACAGACTTAAAAACAGTTGTTATCCAACAGCAATAACCACACTTAATGCCATAAAAAAACATTCATAAAACAATACTATATAGTTAGATTGTGCAATAACTATGACAGAATGAATGGTGGTGTGTGTGTGTGTATCTCCAATAAGATGGGGAGGTTTTTATTTTGTTTTTATTTATTTTTTTATTTTATTTTTTTATTGATATTGATTTATTGATGCACCAACTGTTTGGCACTTTTAAATTTCGTTGTACAGGTTACAATGACAATAAAAGGATTACGATATCAGAAGGCGAGGTAATTGAACAACAACACATCTTGCTGAGAGGAGAACCGCTCACGGAAGTAAAGACCTTCAAGTACCTGGGAGCAACAATAGCTGCAAATGGAGACTGTATGCAGAACTGCGACAGCGCTCAGTTCAATGGGCGATCTCCAAAAGACATGGAAAGGCAGAGGAATCAGCATACATACCAAGATGCGCTTGTATAAAGCACTGATCCAGCCAAAAGCGCTATACGGCTGTGAAACTTGGACCCTTAAAAAAGCGGAAGAGAAAAAACTCCTTGTATTTTCTAAATGGCTGCCCTAAGGAAGATACTCAGGGTTAGTAGATTAGACAAAATCCGTAACGAGATAATACGACAGCGTACGGGGTGCCATCAAACGATTGTGCAAGTAGTACATGAGAGGCAGCATAGGTGGCTAGGGCATGTGCTGAGAATGAACGAAGACCGTATAGCGAGAACGGTACTACAAGGAAAAGTAGATGGTAAACGAAAACAAGGAAAACCGAAGACCACATGGATAAGATCAATCAAATATCGGACAAGTATGAGTTTACACCAGGCATCAATTGTGGCACGGGACAGAAATATTTGGAGAGAACTAGGTGAACGTATTGGAGCCCACGTCGGACTCACCAGCTGAGTGCTGATGAGGCATAGAAGAGAAGAAGTGTTCTTTATGACAGAGAGAGAACAGCGTAGTTTATGATGGGCACAATCTCAGATTTTTTAGCTTTAGACCCCGATTCCATCTAGTCAGAGGGCATCAAGCATGTTTTTTAAATGATTTTAGAGCAAATTTTCATCTGCCACGACTCACGAGTCTCCTCACAACAAGGCATGTTTCTGCATATGCTTGTTGGGTTTCAAAGTCTTTCAGGCCACATACACACTGCAAAGATTCTGGAGTGGCAACCGCATTTAAATGTGGGAGTGAATCCGCTAAATCATTGTTCCGTGAGTTACTCCTGAAACTGCAATGAATGTTAGTGATAATCATAATATCAACAGAAAGAAAACAAATGCCAAAATAGATACAGCATGTGCATTAGGGATAAGCATGCAGACTACGGACCTGACACAGCAATATTCAGCCATCAATAATTTGTCTACTTGCCAATAAACTTAGCTTTAAAAAGCCTCTACATTTAGATAATAAAATACTCTTTGTTCTCTTATATTTTTGTTCATTTTATTAGTGACTTTCACTTGACCTTTTTGGTTACTTAATTGAAAAACCGTTTGAAGGCATGCTAATGCTTCAACATATTACTTACATTTATAATCATTAAATTCAATTATTATCATTAATAGTTAACTGTGGTGAGCAGGACGAGGCCTAGGGACGTGAGAGAGCGGTGCGAGGCCGGTGGCGTGAGTGATAATGAGCGACACCTGTGAGAAGCACCGGTCTCGCATCTCTCACAGAGGAGCGGAAGGATAAAGGAGGAGCGACGACAGTGAAGTTCGAGAGAGGAACAGGCCTGATTTTATGTTGTGTTCTGTTTCTGTTTTATGTGGCCAGCAGTCGTCCGTGAGGGGCTGCTGGCTTATACTTTCATTTTGTATTTGTTTATTTTATTAAACTTGTTGAACGTTCACCAGTTCCTGCCTCCTTCTTCCCATAACATCTGAACCCCGTTACATTAACTTTATTTTCAAATAGTTAAATAAAATGTTAAATAGAGAGTGAGTTCCAATAATTTTTGCATTGGTATCAATTTATACTGAGAACTGTGAAATGTTACTACTTTGGGTAAAAAAAAAAAGTCAAACTCCTAAATGCCCACCATTCAGAACCCAGTCTCTTTCCTGCTGATTCTTGTCTCCATGAATCCCCATGGCAGGCCAGCTGGAAGACAGAATATTCCATCATAAGATAAAGTGAAGGTCATCCAAAAAACCCTTATAACTCATGCAGTACTGTGGTCTCTTACCCATCTCTCCTCATCCTCCTGGTCAACTCATCACATCTCCTCTTTGTCTCCACAAAAATGATTGTCTTATTCTCCTTCTCACTCATTATCTCCTCCAATAGCCGCAGAAGTCTGGAGAAATAAGTAACACCAATAATATTAATACAGTTGTTTTTGTAGTTTTTATAAAAATTATACCCAGAATATATTACTACAGTAATATTATTGTGCTGTAAAAATAGTATGTAATAATAATAAATAAAATTAAGAGCTAAGCAATAGGGCTGTCAATCTTCCTCTATAATACTATTCGAATTCCATTCCTTATTTTATTTAATATTCGAATAATATTCGAATATTAAATGTTCAAATTCATCCTATTATTAATATTTACGACATTACTCAGGCTTATGGATCGCCAATGCCACTATAGCATGTGGTTGTTGTTACACGTTCTGTCCACTAGAGGGATATCTAACATTAGGTACAATAAACATTTTATTCGTGCTGAATATGGTTGAAGTTTTCGGTAAAACACCACCAAAAATTCTGAAACTTATATCGTTCTTTTCAGTTCGACTAGACGGTTCCAACGAGTTTGGTGCTCGCCGAATCCGTTGAGTTTTCACCAAGATATTTGCGCTTCACGGGCGCTTTTTTACATTGTTAAACATTTACCATTTTTGACAGTATTGTTATGATGATACAGCGTGGATAACGTGCACAATTGTGTTACGATTCAAAAACGTTATTGTTCATCAGACGAAACAAAAGCATTTCATTTTCACATGTGTGTAAGCCAAGGTGGCGAGAAAGGCAAGATTCCATATAAAAAAAATTAATGAATGGGAATAGGAGCAGGCTTCACTCAATGATTAAACTTAAACTTTAAGAATGCTGGCCTGATGATTAGAATATATGACGTTAAACAGGAAAGAGGCCGCACTGTGCATAAATTGTTTTATTTGCACAAACGCGTTTCGGCGCGTGCCTTCTTGAAACGCGTTTGTGCAAATAAAACAATTTATGCATAGTGCGGCCTCTTTCCTGTTTATATATATAAAAAAATTAAAATATACATAAAAAAACAATATTCGAATAGTAACTTCAGCATTCGAATAGTATTGATTTTTTTAATATTCGAATTATATTCGAAATTTTGGAATTCGTTCCAACAGCCCTACTAAGCAAGCATATCAGGATCAAGCATCAGGCCAACTGCAAAAATGTGTATAAAGAGGTATACTTTGAAAGGCTCACGCGCTCAACTGCGGAGTGGAAAATTAAGACCAGGCTTTAAAGGAGAACTCTGGGCAATTTTTAAGTTAATCTCGATCGTTACACCTTTGTGAGTAGCCTACTGTCTATATATAAAAAAACTAACCGGATCGGTGCTTGCAACACGGAGCTGTTCCCGCAAATGCCCAGAGCTCCCACTCAGCTAAAACGGCAGTTATGGGGGCATAAACAAAAAGAGTGTCTTTGTACCTCTTAACAGACACATAATGCAATTAAAATGTCTGTCCAACATGAACAGGGGCCTTACATGTGAACAAGATGCGTTTAGCAACTTAGCCATTGTTTAAATTCACCTAAATAGTGTACAGACGGCAAGCTGTAGTCTCGCGCTGAAGTCCCGTGGGAACTCAGTTGTAGCTGGAAAAGGTAAACAGTGTCCAGGTGGGAGGAGCGTAGTGTGTGAAGAGTGATAATCGGAGTTGCTTATAAGTGAAGAAGAAATGGTTCGTGTTTGTGCCTTTCCGAATTGTGGCAACAGAATGTGAAAATATAAATACTTAAATTTTCATTGTCTTCCTTTCCATGACCGCGAGATTCTGCAGTTGTGGCTAGTTGTACTTCAACTTGATGTGCAAACTCCCATACAAGTACTACGCGCTAAAGATTACCGCATTTGCAGCGAACACTTTGACAAGGATGACTACACAGACACAACACAGCGGGGCCGGTTGAAGAAAAAAGCCATTCCGTGGACGAAGACGGGTGCAACCAGTGTGGAGGTAATGTAAACTTTATTTATCCTTCCATTTGGGCACACGCGGCTTGAGGAGAGATTGTGCAGTAATGTTTTTGTAGACTTATTTGCAAAACTTTAATTATTTCACTAGCTTCTATTGAATTATATTCTCCATAGTTACGTTACTACAAGCTTCTTCACTTGTAAGCAACTCCGATCATGCTCTTCGCGCTCCTCCCACCTGGACACTGTTTACCTTTTCCGGCTACAACTGAGTTCCCACGGGAGTTCAGCGCGAGACTACAGCTTGCCGTCTAAAACACTATTTAGTTGAATTTAAACAATGGCTAAGTTGCTAAACGCATCTTGTTCACATGTAAGGCCCCTGTTCATGTTGGACAGACATTTTAATTGCATTATGTGTCTGTTAAGAGGTACAAAGACACTCTTTTTGTTTATGCCCCCATAACTGCCATTTTAGCTGAGTGGGAGCTCTGGGCATTTGCGGGAACAGCTCCGTGTTGCAAGCACCGATCCGGTTCGTTTTTTTTCTTTCTATAGACAGTACTCACAAAGGTGTAACGATCAAGATTAACTTAAAAATTGCCCGGAGTTCTCCTTTAAAGGTGCATTGCGCAACTTTTCATGTTAAAAATACCTGTTTTTCTATCCTATACATGCTTAAAGAACTGCCTGATGGGCTGAATGAGCCCTTCTCTGCGCACTGAGATTGCCTCTATAATCCTGTACAGTAAAATATATAAGAGGGATTCGGGCTCGAATTTGAGACTGGGCGTGACGTCATGCGCGTTCACGCTCACCAGGCTATGTCTCGCAGGTTTGTGTATTCGCCGGCGCCGCCATTCTCTGCATCAGCGAAGACAACTCGTGCGTCAAAGCCCAGATAGCAAAAAATATCGGCACGGCTTCTTTTTGCCGCCGGCCCCAAACTGTCGGCTATAGGTGCGCCCCGCTGGCGGAGATGAAACGTTTGCCGCCGAATACGTCACTCCCATTTCTTGCGAGATGCCGCCGGCGAACAGCCGCCGGGCCGCCGACTTCATTCTCTCTGGCGGTTGCCGCCGTCTAAATGAACCGCGGCCGGCTGGCGGCAAGCCGCATTGAAATCATAGACAGTAAAAGAAATGGACAGAGCGATCTCATTGGAACTCAGTTGAGACAGTTGAAGCCCACTTTTAGCGATTTTTGAGAACTTCCGTTCCTGACGCGCAGACTCAAACCGACTCAAACTAAGCTTGATGACGTGAGCAACCTGTCTGACAGACGTTAATCTTCTAGTAGCTGTGCGTGAAAACTGCCAACGTTAATCTTGCAGAGACGGGGAACTTGAGCAAAGAGTTCTTTGGCGTGAGAGAGCAGGAGTAAGTATTCCGTTGCTTTTATGGACTCATTATCTATGGGCTTCTCCCTTGACGGGACGTCCCCCCGATTGCCTGCGAGCTTCTCCTCCTGTCTGCACGGTAACTTCTGTACAGCGCGACAGAGAGTCGAGTGGTTATGACGCAATCGTTAGCCTATTTTTCCTAAATCTGTTTCTACGGGGCCATAGTGTAACATAGAAGGTAATGGAGCCCTTTATACATTGTCGTGTTTCTTTAGAAATAAATAATGGACAAATGGAGTCTTTAAACGCCTCAGATGTAAAGTTATTCGCTGTCAAAGTGACGCAAAAATGAATGGGAGTCAATGGAAATGCTAACGCAAGTGAAGTTCTACTACAACATGGCGGCACCCGGCCAGCCATGTCATTGGCATGAGTGGAACTGACAGCATTTTAACTTTCACATTTAAAGCGATTATAATTATTATGTGAATTATATCAAATTTTGTTATTGTTGTTGCTCCAAAGTCATTAGGGTTTATAACAGATTTGACTCAGTCTGATTCCATGATAAGGTTTAGGAAAATACATTTAAATTACGTTGAAACTCTGAAGCGATTCAGTGATAGGCCTATGTAAAATATATAGAATTATTTTATTCACTTAAGGTTACAATTCTTTACATTTCTTTGATTTATGCACAATTGAGATGCACAAATAGTCCAAAAAGAATTCCTTTTGTAAAACTTACTTGGCAATAAATATCTTTCTGATTCTGATTAGGTTTTAAAATAAATATTTCATTCATGGTATGAACAATTTAGCAGAATAAATGGATGAAGTTAGACTTTTCACCAATGCCTGAAATCAGTGAACAGTGAAAGACATCTGCAACTTGGCCAAAAGCTTGGGTATGCTTTAGATTTTTTTTATTAATTTGCAACCATGGTAGCCTAATATTTATAATAAACATGAAAATCCCTGTTTTGACATGAAAGATAAAGTGAAATATTTAGAAATATTTAGTCTCTCTGTCACCCCAGGAAATTTCGTTTATGTCTTTCATTTTTTTACAAGCTCGATTTTTTTATTTTTATTTTACCTTTTACAGGTAAGGGATTAATTTGCAATTGCGAGTTTTGCAATCTGTACAAATGTTTAAGAAAGTATTAAAGCACAAACAGAGAAGTACCTCCACCGGCCGAGAGGGGCAGTACCTAAAAAACGGAAGCAGATTTACCAACACAACAGTGGCCACTCGTCACACGATTTCAGTATTTGGAGAGGATATCCTATCTAGTCATTGACTACGATCTTTAAAGTAAGTACATTTTTCCTTTTTGTGTAACGCAATATTATGTTCATTTTTTACATTTTTAGTTCAGCTTTTTCAAATATGTTCTTGCCTTACTAGTCAAGCTAGTAAGTTAGCCTTGTTTACAAAGTTTTCGTCATGTTTCTGACATAGCTAACGTTACTTAGTTTCTTCCTGGCGTTAGTTTTTTCTTTTCTTCTTTTAACTATATTTACGTATGTTTATGCAAGTGTGAGTACTACAGTATGTGGTTTAAGATAGTATTGGTCAGTCGAATAATTAACTAACTTACGTAACCAAATCCTGAAGGACAATTCTCCCGCCCACGTGGGAATGGTAACGTTAGCAAAATCTTTACAACAAGAAAGACTGATCAGTATAACTTGTGTTGTTTTCTAACTAAACATAATGATGTTTTGTTTGATTCGACAACCATGCTGCTAGTCTAGATTAACTTACAGTGTTAGCTAACACATGCTGCTTCGCCTTTTTTACTCACTGAATTCAAGCATGTTCGACATGTTGAAATGTATCTAGCTACAGTAGATCGCCAAAGCTTTACATCTAGAAAGAAAGCTTTACATCTAGAAAGTTTAACTTTTGGTGTTTTCTTACAAAAATAACGATGTGTGTGTATATATATATATATATATATATATATATATATATATATATATGTGTGTATATGTATATATGTGTGTATATGTATATATGTGTGTATATGTATATGATTGTGTTTGTCTGAACATGGTTTTCTGTTGATCCACTTGTGAAAATGACTCGTTTTTTGAAGGGGTGAGCATTTTAATGTTATTGATTTTGCCTGGAAATTAATCAAAAAGTATACTTTATGCAAAATGTTCTTCTATTTTAGATGGTTCACATTGTTCAGTTTATCAACGAGGAGGATCTGCCATTTGCAGTGGTTCCGCAAGAGTGGCTCAGCGAGAGCATGTGCCATTGGCCCCCATTTAACCTCAGCAAAAAGACGAAGGCAACAATTTAGCCATCCTCTGCACACCTCCACACAGCACCTGGGAGAAACATCATTTTAAGTTCATGAAGGGAGCAGGTAAATGGGTCTGACTTGTGTATTTGATTTTCCTGTATTTCATCTGTGTAATTTATTTTCTGTTTATTGTGGATAACTGACTCTTTCATTCATTATTCCCTACTCTAGAATCTTGGAAATCTCAAGAAAAAAAACTCTAGAAAGATGCATCGATTCCAGAAAACCAGGAAAATGCTGAACTGGTATGTAAAATCTATTGCTGTTATGCTGGATTTGTGATCCTGCCACTAAACTATACCATTTGTTAGATTTTCAAATTTCTGTTTCCTCTTTCTCGCAACCAGGTTTCTCCCCAGTAATCCAGACTCCACTTCACAGAGCCAAGAGTTTGAGTACAAGTAAGTGATGTTATTTGTGAAGTTTTTTTGTCTTGGAAACTATTGCTTCTATTTGAAGTCGGCATGAACCGGAAGTTACAAACGACTTTTCTCCAGTGTTGTGACGTATTTAAAAATGAAACGGTATATTGAACGGAGGGCAGGGTTTTACTCTAGCGCTCCTCTTCTCCATCTCTGCTCATAGCACGGTTTGAGGGGAGTTGCCACGCCCTCGCGCCATAGCACATGACCGGAAGAGAAGAGAAGTCGTTTCGAGGGGGAGGGAAGGGTAACGTATTTGATTAAAGATTATAAGGCTACATGAATTTTAAAAGAATAATGAAGTGCACAGATAAATCATTTATAATAAACACTACAATATTACATATAAAAATACGAATTGTAAAATCTTACTTCAAGAGCAGGTGAAGCAAGTTCAACAAACAATGTTGAAGACTTTTGCTTGCACTGAGCAATTAGGTACAACTTGCAAACAGCACCTGTGGCTGTCTGTTTAATTCCCACCTGGGGCTACCTGTACATGTAGTAGACCTAGATATAAAGTAAAATTTAAGATTGTATACTGCATATATTACAGTCTGAATCCTTAGCCTTTCACATTTTTATTTATTTATGAGAAGCTTCAGAGAAATGTAATTTGTAACACTTTTTTGGATTTTCAGCTTGGTGTAGGGGATAAAGCATGTTTCAGAGACATGTTCCTGAAGACCATTGTTCAAAGTAAGTTGGATTTTTTTTTTTTGATTTAAGTAGATGTGTATGTCCTATTGTCCTCATGCAATTCAAATTAAATGACAGATCTGTATTTTCTATATTAGCCATCCGGAAGGACCCGGCAACCCAGGATGCACTGATGAGGCGGTCCAGGTTAACGTTACACGTTACCTGAAAGGAGCATCTGACCGTGAAGGCAGAAAAAGGCGCCGCACAGCTGAGAGGGACCCACAGCCGACCACTTAAAACTAGACTGACTACTGACACCCCAGAATCACTGACAACTGGAATCCTTTCTTTATCTTGCAGTCAGTAGAATCAAGACCCCTAAAGAAGTCAGAAGTGTCAGACTACACTCACTCACTGTGGAAATTACTTTCTTTTTTTCTTTTTCAAATAAAGCTTGTAAATCCTTGTGCCACAGGTCAGCATTGCCGTTATAATGGCCTATTCTACTCCAGAGCTTTACTATAAATTACTACCACTTATCATATTGTTAGAAATGGCTTGTAAATGTAGTTATACTTTTATTTATTTGGTATCTTGCACATTATTTGGTATCAAATATCCTCTTTACTTGTCATAATGTTTACTGGTAATTTGTTACCCTAGAGCTGTCCTTTTTATATGAAAACTTATTGTAAGTGTTGTAATTGCAGCCTTTTGAATCCAAAATTGAATTGGAAACCTGCATGTTAGTATATTGATTTATTTATTTTTCTGTTATGTTTCAGTGATCTGAAACATCTTGTTTAAATGACAGTTACTGTACTTTGAAACGTGGAATAAAAATGCCAATTGTAAATTTGTCTGGTTTGAGCAATCATTATTCTTGATAAACTGCATGCTATAAATAAAATATATATATATATATCTAGCCAGAATAAGCGGCGGCAGAGCGCTCGAAAATAGCGTTTGCCTCCGGCGGGCCGCGGAAGGACGGCCTTCAATATAAAGCGCGGCGGAACGGCGGTTGGCCCGCGGGCCGGCCGCTTAACGAAGGCGGTAGGAAGGCGGCTGCCACTTTTAAAAAGCGGCTGGCGCCGTCCAACGTGTTTGCGATGTCGCCATTCTGACGCTTCTACTGCCGCCGGAGAACCGACGGTGGTCCGCCGACTCATTGCTATCTGGGAGGTAGAAGATGGATTCAAAGAGATCGGCTTGTAGTCCATTCAAAACACCAACGCAAACTCCACGTAAAGTAAAGAAAAGAAAAATTTTGTCTAGTGCCACCAAAAGGTCCAAATTGGAGTCAGACAGGCGTCGGAGTAAGACGAGAGTCA